AAAAAAGCGAGCTGATTCGGCTTATTGACATCTTGTTTAAATCTTGAATTGAACAGAAGGCTAAGGCTAAGGCTAAATTTATTAACAAGTCTATATCGCAGGGCATTTACAGCGGCAGCACGTCGTTTATAGGAGCAGGATGTTTATAGGAGCAGGGTGTTTATAGGAGCAGGGTGTTTATAGGAGCAGGGTGTTTATAGGAGCAGGGTGTTTATAGGAGCAGAGCGTTTGTAGGAGCAGGGTGTTTATAGGAGCAGAGGGCTTGTAGGAGCAGGGTGTTTATAGGAACGCTGTGCTCCTAGAAGCAGAGTGTTTCTAGGAGCAAAGCGTTTGTAGGAGCAAAGCGTTTGTAGGAGCAAAGCGTTTCCAGAAGCGCAGCGTTTCCAGAAACACCCTGCTCCTAGAAATACCCTGCTCCTAACAATGCTTAGCTTCTAGGAACACCCTGCTACTCGAGGCGCTGTGCTTCTGGGAACGCTCTGCTACTAGAAACTATCACAAACACTCTAAATCTCAAGAATTTGCTAATTTTCTTGATGCATAGCAGCACAAAGTTCACATAAATATGGTGCCTCTCAGAACTTATACAGTACTTAGTGAAACCCCCTAAAAACGTACATCATTAAGGTCACATCAATGTTGAAATACTATTTCATGGATATAATTACTAGAGCCGTGAAAACATCCATCCAGAAACAACGCATTACAAAATCTCATCTAGAGTACTGACCAGCGTGACGCTGTTGCACGAAGGAGTCTTAGAAGAGAGCTCGATGAAGTTCTCACCATAGAGGTAGCTAGGAATGAGAGGGATACTGTACTTAATAAGTAATTTTTCGGAGATTTTGCAGAATGTAGCGTATATACCTTTCAGCTGAGATATCAAGACTTCGAAGCGTAGCTTTTATACTGCGTACTAATTCGTTGTATTCGCTTTCCGACTATCTATGGTTTACCCTTGATAAAGTTAGCTGGACAGTAACAGAAGGCGAAAATGATGATTAGGGATATCATACGGAGCCTTAATCAGGATTAGGGTCTTCAATTTTACAAAGAATGACTCTGAGCTGTGGTAATGGGGATAAGAATGGATGATTTTCCAAACGTGTCGTCTATACTGCTGGTCTAGTGTTACGTCCCTAGATTAGAAATCCACATAGAGCGGATTGATCCTGAGTGGCGAAGGCCTCTTTGACTTAACTATATCTCTCTAACTAGTACACTGATTCAGAAAAAGGCTAGCGTGGAAAGCAGTAGTCCTTCGAACTCTGCTGCTTTCCACGCTAGGCCAGATAGGGCTGTGTCTAAGATGAAGTGGAGAGCAAAAAGGCCTCCGCCGCTAAGGATCAATCTGGTCTAGCGTGGGTAGTCGAGAGTGTTCAAAAGCCTCTTGACTACCCACGCTAGACCAGATGTTATACTGGTACTAGCAGATGCCCGTGCGCCGTATCCGTCTCGCTTTTCCTGGCCCTTACTACAATCTCAGATTTACAGTACTATATGTAAGAGAAGAACTTATGAGAGTTGACTACAATGAGTGTACTAATGAAACCCATCCATCTTTTACATCCGCTGCATTCGATCCCGCCATCAGACCTCAGGTCTACCATCACTGATGGCACTGTCTTGGCGTGATAACAGTCACATGATCCTAGTGCCCTGCGCTGATCATTGCCTTTTGGCTCAAAACTGGTTGGCTGACAGTCTTTGGTCTTTAGCCCTTCCTGTGTTCTTCCGTCTTTCGTCAAAGAGGAATTTCCCATGTGTATAACAGCAGTCGAGTCCACTGAAGCGTTGCATGGAGAGTATTATGTCCGTACGCCGCTATAGTCGCGCAGCTAGATGAACTGGTAGACGGCGGAATTAGGGTTACCGAATAACTTTCGGAGATATGTCCAGCAATCGTCTCTTGCCGTCGACAACAAGGCACATTTTACAGTTCCGCTTGAGTTGCGAACAATCCGCATCGGGCGCTGCCCCAGATAAACCCACTCGAGCTCTAGTAGTCTAGTGGCATATCCTGCGGCCAACTAAATCATGTCGTTCGAATGCTACATCTCCCATGCTAGAGCGAGCTTCTATTCAATATTGCCTTCCTGGAAATATAGACGGGCAAGAATTGTGTCTAGTTTGCGAAGTATCCTATCCTCATAATAGCGGTGTGGATCTTCTTAAAATTAAGCGATAGAGTTTTGTCCAGTATATATATCTCGAGAGAAAGCGAGTTTGCGAAGCTTTGGCAGTTTCTGAACACAGTCTTGTATAGCAGAATGATCGATGAGCCACGAGTGTCTCCATCCTGCCTGGCATCCCGAGCTAAGACAAAGTTATTCTAAAGTGCTGAGGCCAGATATCTATTTAAGTGCGGAGGATAGAATATAATTTTCGTTCTCCAGCCACCTTACGCTTAGAGAACTGAGATACTCGAATCGACTAAGAAGCAACGGAAATATCTTCTTCTCCAGAAAATTAGGCGCTGCACCATCGATCCTCAATTTCTAGATATGGGAATTGGCCTGGAGAAATTCCATGCAAAGATTTCTTATCTCGAAGCCACAGCAAAGCCATATAAAAGTCTATAGTTTAGGCAGGTATCCGCACTAATAGAAGAAGTCTGTAACTACCTAATCCTTGCAAATATTAATTACCAGAGAATATATTGGGCTAGGCGCACCTGGCTAGATTAGGACATCAAGCTAGGCCGGATCGTATTTCGTTAGACTGTCGATATGGAGATCCTGTAATTGCTAAAATAACGGATATCCATTAGATAAGTTAGGTAGCTAGACAAAAGGACTTGCACCTATGTCGCGTAATATCCATGCAAGAGACTTTAGGCCTGGTGAGGCAAGGCAGAGCAGACTACAAACAAGTGGTGCTGTAGGTATATTCTGTCTGTAACCTGACAGTAGATCCAAGTACAATGATTCTAGACGCCATTTACAGTCGTTCGCCAGATGATCAGAAAGAACTCCTTCACCGATCGACACACTGTTCAGGACAAGATGCCGAAGGTTTGATGAGATAATAGCCTTCAAAAGGGCACGGTCAAGGGGTGTCCTATCCAAACAACTAATCTCTCTAAATGAGGTAAGGTTCTAGTATACGAAAGGACTAAACTGATATTCGTTATGTAATCCCTAAAGAACGCCTCGCACGCGTGATTCACACGTTTATTCCGTATGTCACTTTCTAGTGCATGAAATTTATCGGAAAGTTCAACTTTATGACGACTGGTAATCCGTCTAGGGTCTGCTAAGACGACTATCTCCCAGATACAGGCCCCTATCGATAGTGCACTGGTCTTGCCATGGTATTCAGATCGGTGTTTGCATTCGTTGATGAGAACGCCAAGAATTCCAATAGACCTATCGCTGTAGTCTAACCTAATGGTGGCAAATTGGCGGGACCTAGCAAGCTGACGGCAGTCGCGATTAACTAGAGCGAGGCGTCCCAGATCTTCGTCGTCAACTAGTTTGATTACGTGCCATACGAGCTCAACAGGTAAGCGAGATAAGAGGAAACTTGAAGAGAAACGCTGGCCTTCATTGATGCGGTCAAACGAGAGCGGGAACGGTTCCACGGTTTCTTTACTAAAGTCGTCTTTCGTGCCCGAGAAGAATGGCATCATCAAACTAAAAAGATTGCTATGCTGAGATGATACACACAATTTATTTACGCCCGGCGGCCGAGCCGAAAGGGCTACTAACACTAATCTAACTTTACACTTTTTATGATACGTCTCGGTCTCCTTAGCCCATCTATCTTCTTTGGCTCGCTTCTTTGTGTAGCTTATTATCAGATTTGGAGCCCTTATGTGATATCATAGCACGCTTCTTCTCTATCTACTATTATTCCTCATCAGATGCTCGTGGGTTAGTATTGCTAGTGGCAGACTGGCTCAGAGTCGGCTTCTCCAAGAGATTCCCTAAGTGTTCAACGTCCTATCTTCGGCGGCTGAAGCGCTGTCTGCTGTCAGTTGCACGAGGCTGCTGACAAGTTTATATTAGTATCTCGAGTTTATCTAACTAGTAGTTAGATATTAGTTTGCATAAAGTCTTCTTGTTGCTATCGCGAATCGTATCGTCGCTCGCACCGCGTCTATGTCTGGCGCCCATTTCGCGTCATCTGTGGCTGCTTTGCCACCTAGGTAGAATGACATGTTTCCTCTGCTTATCCGCGTGCATTGCAGCATCTCTGTCCGCTGTGTCGTCCACTTTCGGCAACGGAATAGAAAGTGCTCTACCGTCTCTACTGCCTGACCGCACTCGCATTGGTCTGTTGTTGATGCTTTAATTCGGTATCGATACGTGTTCAGCTATGCCATGCCTGTTCTGAGCTGGGCAAGCACAGTGCTCTCTTTCCGCGAAAGTCCGTCGTACAGTTGTCGCGTGTGCTTTCCTAGCAGTGCCGTGTCGATTCGTTTAGAATATGCTCCCACATCTACTAGTACCTTCTTAGCTATGCCTTGCTTACGTGCTATATTGTGCGTAGTTAATCGCATTCTAGAGAGCTATGTCTGTAGACTGGTGTTTAGTCTAGTTGCTGTCTTCGCTTCCCGCTTGGCGAGACTTGCGAGCTCATTCTCTTTGCTTGTAGGTAGCTATAGCATTGTTACTACGTTACCGTCTCTTCTTAGTGTTTGTAAGGTTTTGTAGAACTAGCTAATGTAGCTTTGCCCGGACTGCTGCCGTGGTCTTCTAAGTGTGAGTATAGCAGCTTTGTCTCTTGTTATGAGCGCGATGCTGCGAAACCTTAGCTTTGGCAGCCTGCTTAACGCTTCGGCCATTGCTGCTAGCTCTGCCGAGTACGGGTTCTGTTCCTCTCTCTTGCCCAAAGCAACGGAGAAAGATCGTGTTTCGTTGCTTTGTATGCTAATTGCGCCTCCCATTCCGACCACGCCATTCCGCGCCGAGCTACTTACCGCGATGCGTACCGCCCAGTTCGCCTCGAGGCTCTGTGCCGCGTTCTCCACTACGGTCTGCACTCTTTTCTCCCATAGTGCCAACACACCTGGCCGGATCGTCTCCATCTGCTCTATCTCTATATCCTTCAGCGCTTCTGCCACCTGGAACAGCGGCGAGCGATACTATCTTCTGAACTTTAGCATTCGCGATGTGTTTCTTCGCAGTGGGTTCGTCTTAGGCAGCGCGTGGATGTCGGTCTACAGCTTAACTGCCCGCTTCCAGAACTGCTCTTGTACACTTAGGATATGCGCCTCAGCTTCTACCACCTATGTCGCTACCGTGCTGAACGTCCCTACGATCGCTCGTGCACCTATTCTTTGCACCCTATTAATAGGTCTCACTAGCTTGTCTTTACAGGCATGCATCCATACGTTCGACGCGTAGTCTACTGTCCGTGCGACTGTTGCCGTGAACAGCTGTCGCGCTACTCTGGGTGAGAGTCCTCGCAGCCTCCTAAGTTCCAATGCTGCTTCCAGTCCCTTCGCGGCTGCTCTTGCAATGTGCTTGTGGTACTTAAGCCTGGCGTCCATGAGCACGCCAAGTATCTTAACGTGGTCCTTGGGCGAGACGCTCTGCCTCTTGATAATGAAGGGCTCTGTGGCACTCTTGTACGCCCTACGAGTAAAGTGGATAACGGCTGTCTTTTCTGCTTCAAACTTTTCTGCTTCAAACGTCGCTCCGCTTCTCCGTTCCCAGTCCAGTGCGTCTTGGATAATAGCATTGATACCCTCTCTATTACTTTGCGCCGTCGGGCCTGTGACCCACGCAGTAAAGTCGTCAACGAACGCGATCGCGCCTCCGTACGTGTCGATAGGTCGCTGCACGAGATCTGCGTTAAAGAAGAGAAATAGAATTGGCGATAACGGAGACCCTTGCGGTAGACCTGCTTGTGGCAGTTCTTGGACCTTAGACGCCTGTCCGTTGACCTGGATTGACGCAGTGCGCTCTGAGCAGAATGCCTCTACCCACTTCAACAGCTTCTGTGGTATTCCTCGTGCTTTTATCCTCTGTAGTAGTCTTTCCTTACACACCCCGTTGTACGCTCTTTCGACATTGAAGCTAATTAGGCTAATAGTCCGCCGGCCCCGCCACGCGCTATAAATCTGCTCTTGGAGCAACACTAGTGCTTGCTCGGCTGATTGCTGCTTGCGCGCTCTAAAGTGGTTAGTGGGCAGAAGCCCGTATGTCTCTACCATGTGCGAGATCCTCTCTGCTACCACCGACTCTAGCACTTTGCCCAGAGTGGCCAATAGTGAGATCGGCCTCCATGCCTTTGCGACGGTGTAGTCTTCCTTGCCTAGCTTCTTAAGTAGTATGATCTTGGCGTGTCTCTATTGGCTAGGTAACACTCCCTCCTCTAGCGACTATCGGAATAGCGCAAGCACATGGTCTTTCACTACCGGCTAGACCTACTTCTATACGATAACTAGTAGTCCGTTGTCTCTAGGTGCTTTCCATAACCTGGCGGCGTGCAGCTGTCTTTCCACCTCCTCGAGTGTGATGGCCAGCATTTCTACGGGTACTCTCTGCGGCCTAGCTCCCTCATCGTCGATACTGCTAGGAAGCGGAGGGAAGAAGGTGTTGAGCAACTCCTCCGCTTGTTCTTTAAAGTCGCTCGTAGTTGTCCTGTCCGTTCTGCGAAGTGCTGGAACTGTTCCGAACGCCTCGTTGCCCGCTTTTAGATACTTGGCCGCGTTCTAGATGTTGTCGTTGTCCGCTAGGAAGTCATCCTAGTGCTTTCTCTTCTGCTGTCGAATGGCATCTTGGTACTGCTTCGACGCTCCTTTTGCCATCTCTTCTAGGTCCGGCCGAGCAACCCCTGTTCGTCTCGCGGCTCTCGCTCGGTTCCTCCAGTGCGTGTAGATGCGGCGTAGCTGTGTCAGGTCCTGCGTCCACCACCTCTTTGCATACGGTGACGCCTTAGCCCTAGGTGTTAGTGCGTGCACCGCCTCCAGCACCACCGCCATCAGTCTGTCGGTCCTCTGCTGCGTCGTGCCCGCTGGCGGAGTCACGCTGAGCGCCCTAGCGATCCTGTCGTTGATTGCTTTCCACGACGCGTTCTTGAGCAGAAGCCGCTCTTGCTGCTGTGCCACTGGCGCGGGGCTATTAAAGACTGTGTCGATCATTCGGTGGTCAGAGCCGTGCTCGGTGTCGTGGGCGGCGCATCTCAGCACCGTGTCTGCCAGCTCTCTTAACGCTAGCACTAAGTTAATTGTCGTCTCGTACTCTCCGCACTGCCATGTCTTAGTCCCGCGCGGGAGCAGACTGCTAAGCGCATGTTCTATCATTAGATCGATAATCGGGTCTGCCTCGCCCTGTCTGACCAGCGTCACATCCTCTCCTCCCCACTGCTGGTCGTGCTGATTGAAGTCGCCGGCTAGTACAACGTCCACTACCGTATCGGCCCTTCGTCTCGTCTCCGTAATCACTCTGTCTATCTTTTTACATGTGTCTCGTAACGCCTGCGGGTTTCCTCCTGGTATGTACACAGACACCACCAACACCCGACGCTCGTGTAGCCGGATAATCGCTGCTGTCAAGTCCGGCGACTCTACCCGTACCTGTTCTGCCTCTACCTCTCTATTCACCCACAGCATGCTCCGTATCGGCCACCTTCCTTCTCGCCAGGTCGATGGCACTATCTCGGTCCACTTGCAGTGGAGCATGGGCGTCGTTAGCAGCCGACCCTAGATCCTCCGTGCATGCGGCTCTTGAATAGCTACTACTGCTACGTCTTGCAACTCTTCATCGTTTACTAAGCTGTTATGTACTTCGCCTTGCTTTCTAACATTGAGCTGGATCACGCGGAATGCTCTATTCATGTTGAGGCGGGTATAGTATCCGATAATTTCTGCTGAACGACTCGTGCGGTTCTCCGCACAGCACGCACTTCATTACTGCTTCGCTGCAGCTCCTGTGGTGGCGGCCGTCTTTCGCGCATCTCCCGCATCTCTGCACCTTTCGGCACTGGTACGCTTTATAGCCGAGCTCCTTGCAGTTATAGCACTGCTCTGGCCGTCGTCGCTGCTTAAATGTGCTTGTTGTGCCGGACTCTCCGCCCGCATGGAAGAAGCCTTCTGCAATGAGCCTCCTCGCGTCACTTTTCTTGGTCACATACACCACCATCGATCCGTACGCCTTAGGGGTGTCTTTCTTGCTAAGCCACGCAATCTTGGCAACTGTCGTTCCATTCTCTTCTCTAAAAGCTTCTGCTGCTCCCGCTTTAAGCTCATCTTTCTCGTTCAACACTGCAATCCTCTTGACGTTGTCGATCTTGACTGGGTAGAGCTCATCGCGCAGCACACGCGAGCCTGCGCCAATCTTCTCTGCTGCTTTCCTAACTAACTGGTGCTCGTCTTTGTCTCTGCACGCGATCCTGATCCGACTCTGGGTCGCATGGTCAACGGTGACCGCCCGGCATCGCCAGTTTTCTTGGTTCTCNATTGTGCGCATCTCTTTTTCAACGGCTGCTCTGACCGATCCTGCTGATAATCTGCTATTTTCGCTATCTGCCCTAGAGATGTCTACCGTGACGCTGGGCACGTCGATAGAGGCGAGGTTAGTTCTGGTAGTGTGCTGCTGACTTGCTAGCGGCACGGCTGTGGCGTTTAGTCCTGCGGGTGCGCTTGTGGACGCTACTACCTCAGCCCAGGTGCGCGTACCAGAG